GCAAAAAGTCAAAATCGTTATGGATGTAAGAAGCCGTAGTAGTAATATTGGCGTGACCTAATAATCTTTGAATACTAGTCAAATGAGCTCCCCGGTTATGTAATAAAGTAGCAAAACTCCGCCGAAAAGTATGAGGCGTAATGCGTTTTTTAATTCCGGCTTGTTGGGTGCGGCTTTTGAGTAACCACCGAATATATTCGGCCTTAATAGGTTTGCCGCGTTGACTGGTGAACAAATAACCCTTACGGTAAGGATGAATTTTCGTGGTCAAAGTTTCCGGGAGTAAAACAAACCGGACTTTGTTACCTTTGCCATGCACTCGCAAAGATTCACCTAATCAATCTTGGTGTCTGATGTTTACTAATTCGTTGATGCGTAAACCACTGTAAAATAAAAAATCGAGCAGTAAATTATTTCGTTCGTAAATACGGGGATTTTTTTCGACCTTGGCCGCTTTTAATTGGGCTAAATCCTGCTCGTTGATAGTAGCAAAAAATTTCCGTTGGCTGCTGGGGATAATCCTCGCAAGTTTTTCCCAGTCAATGGGTAACTTACTGAATTTAAGGTAAGAATGCAAAGCAATCTTTTGCACTTGCAGACTAGCCGGGTCGTATTGACCTAATTGCTGGCGAAAATAATTTCGCAGTTTATCCGTGGTGATTTCGCCGGGAAATTTGGCTAAAATGGTCAAATAAGACCGAATGGTGTGGGGTGAGAGATTTTTTTCTTGTAATCACTTAACGTAATTAGTGATGTTAGGAATGTTTTTGATTTTTTCACTTAAAATGGGATGAGACTTTTTCATACCCCTTTTTTTTCTCAGGCCCAGTCTTAGCCTTTTCCGGCATTCGCGGCAAAAATAATCCAGTGGCCAGGAAATTAAATCGTTAGCCGGAAGCCGGTCGAAAAACTGGCAGCATTGAATAAAATGTCGTTGCTGGTAACTAAACGTGCCTTTTGAGAAATATTTTTGGAATTGCTGGAGTTGTTTTTGCAACGAACGAATTTGGATTCGCAATTGAGAAATCTTAGTTGCCATGTCTTTGTTGAGCCATTCGTAATCAGCCCAAGATTTTTCCGTCCGAATCGAGGAGCAAATGTTTCCTCCCAGTTAACTTATGCTCTTGCCAATAGTAAATTTCCGGTTCTACCCAGTAGTTAAAAATTACTGGGTGTTGGTAATAATGGGTTAAAGCCGCATCTGTTATTTCCAGGTACTCAGCTCGTTCTCACCGGCCCGGGGATTTGATTTGGTTCATTCCGGAGCAAAGTTTTAAGTGAAATTTACTCTCCCCTGGTAGCACGGTTAGGTAGTAATAATTGTTCTTCTTTACTACTTTTACTTGGTTAATTTTTCTCATAATTTTCTTTTCCCGTTTCAATTTGAATTCGCACGGGCACTTCCTCGCAATAAGCTTGTAAGATCCCTAAACTTTCCGGATTAATATCCAGACCGTAGTAATTTTCCCAGCGAGGATGAGGAATCAACTCATACTTAGTGGTTCCGAGTTGCAGATAACCATCCTTGATTAAAACTGTTAAGTTACCGATTTGGGTTTTCTCTCCTTTAGTAAGGGTTATTTCCGGCTCATCGTCTTCCTCAACATCCTTGGCTTCTTGAAAACCTTGGGGGTAAAGATTATACCGGTCACCATCTTTTTCGATTAGTAAATCGAAGATGGGTTCCCAACGTTTTTCCTGTTTATTTCACCGATAATCTTCGTGGAAACGACTTTCGTGTTCAGAACAAATGTCTAAGCCACCCAAACTTAATAAGCCATAATTGGAACAATAATGACACTCTCCTTGGTCTGCTTTTCGTTTTAATTGTTGAGCAATATACTCCTGAACCTCATTTTCTCATTTATCCTCATCTCATTTAGGATAACCTCTTTCGTCTTGCTGAGCATATTCCGATAAATCGCCATTATTTATTCTTTCTTCGACCGCATCGGCCAAGAAATAAAACCGGTCGTAGAGAAATTCTATTCCGGATCGAAATCCTTGTTCTCAAATTTGGACCCACTTCGTTTCTGCTTCTTTGATTTCGGCATCACTGAGTAATCCTTGTAGTTCTTCGGCATAACGGCCTAATTCTTTATAGATTTTGTCAGTGCTAGCAAAACCATCGTATAAGCGATCGGCTCGCTTGTATAGTTTAGTAAAAACTTGTTTTATTTTGTCTCAATGGACTTGGTTAATTTGAATTATTTTTTGGTTTTTCATACTTTTTAATAAGGTGAGCTCGTTAAGGGTTTGGCCCTGTTGAGCTGTGTTAATCGGGCTACTCAAATCTAATCGATCAGAAAGATCCTGGTAAAAATAATGGGGTTCTAATTCGGAAGGTTGAAAATTAATATTTCACTGGGGAATAGTGCATTAGGGAAAATATTCTTGGGTAATACGTGGTAATCACTATTGATAAATTTCTTGTGCCTTTGGGCTCTTGGTGGTTAGATTTAAGCCCATGCTAAAAGGGGTGAAAAGAACAATGGGCACTTCCTTGCCAAAAATCTCAATTATTCTGTCTAGTCATACTTCTGGGGCTAATTTAGGTTTGGCTCCATTAAAAGGGAATAAACGTTTGCTGTCCTCAATTCTTTTCTTTTGCTTATCCTTAGGAGGATGGAACAATTCGTCCTTTAAAAAATCAACTCCTTTATAACTAGCCGTAGAATTCTTATCAATGTCAACTCCGAGGGTTGAAAGGCTTTACGAACCAGGGTCGATAATGGTCTTTTTCTTATCCGGTCAATGAGGAGACAGTAAATTAAAAATAAACTGGCTAACTTCCAAAGGAGTTTGGATATTGCTTTCTTTGAGATTTTGCTAGTAATTGTTTCTGTCTATTCGACACATAGGGCTAAATAATTATTTCGTCGGAATAACAAATACGGCAATCTTTTCACTGACAAATACGCAGCTCCCCTTTCCTTTTAGTTCAAGAATTGCTAGCATCTCCGGCTGGAAATTCGTAAAAAAAGGCCCGGTAATGTCTTCCCTCATGTCGAAAGGAAATATAAAATTGTCCCTTTCTGGTTTCGTGTAAATAAATTGGGATATTTTCTAGGTTCATAATTTTCTTTACTTGGGGGCCGAGAGAGGACTCGAACCTCTGCATTTTGGTTAGAAACCAACTGAGCTGCCACTGCTCCACTCGGCGATATTAGGCTGGTCGAAGGGGAAAAATCTCCCCCTCTCCTTTATTCTCATTCGTAAATATCGAAAAATATTTCGGTGTTTTCGCAACGAGAGCAAACGTAAAATAAACGATGCTTGGTCTTAAAAATCAACTTGAAAGGGGCAAGACTTCCGGCTTCTAGGCAGTGGTCACAGTTGTCATATAACTTATCAGCAGAAAAAGTCTCTTTTTGGGCTTTAACTACTTGTCGATAAAACTCATTCTCTCACTCACGATGATTACCTCGGGATTGTTTGGTAATCTTCACCAATTGCAGCAGACGTTGTTTACCTTCGTTATAATCCAATTCCGATTTATATCAATGTTTGCTTTCGTATTTTTCCTTAGGTAAATACTGCTTCCATTGTTCGTCAGTTCAAGTTTTCTTTTCCTCAGCAACAAGTGCTTTTTCTCAATCGGCGACTTCACCTTGCACGGCCTTGATAATATCTGCTAACTCTACTTGGGTAGTTTTAGGTAAAGAGCCAAAATATTCTTGGCTCAAGCGGTTAACTATTTCTTCCTGACTTTCTAGGCTTTCCTGAAGAGCTTGTTTAACGGCTTTTTCTTGGGCGTCAGTACGCAATCAGCTTCACATACCATACCAATGTCGATCTTTCAATTCGGCTCAATCTTTTTCCACGGCTCTTTGGAAGTCGATCAACTCCTGTTTTTTGGTTCTTAAATTTTTCAAGTAATCAGAATATTCTTGGTAGTTAGCAAAACCAGTTTGTTCTAGTTCGTCAAATTTTTTGCCACCCGTTAAGGCCATTTCAATTTGTTTGCTTCGTCCTTCCGTGTAATCATCAAGGTCTATTTCTCCGCTGGCCATTTTTAAGGCAATCGTCTTTAAATCTTTTTGGTCGGAAAATAACCAACGGGCTTGGTCGGTAAAGTAGTCCTTAAAGCCTATTTCGGCTAAATGAGCCAAATATTTTTCTTTTTGAGTTTCGAGAACTTTTTTTACTTCGTTCGCCTTCCGATAAAACTTCTTGAATTCTCTTTCTAGGAATTTATTAACCCGCAAATAAAAACCAACTTTTTCGTCTTTAATTTCAACTTCCAGGTCAGTTTTTCCCTCCTGAGGTTCTTCACTAATCAATTCTATTTCTCCCACTCCGTATTTCTTGCAAATATTCGGTTTG